GGGGGAGGGGGGCGCAGGGCGGGGTGCGGGGGCTTGGCCTGCCCTCCTGCTGCGGGTGCTCCCACCGCCGCCGCCCACACAAGCTCCCTGCACCCTCCTAACGTCTCCATGGACTGGCGTCAATACAAGTGAGTTCAGCGTGTTCAAGCTCCCTGTTCACAGCGTGACTCATAGAAATGCAAAACCCAACAGGCTTCCCTGCAGAAAGACCTAGATCTTTCATTTTTACTTAATCCTTTGGCAGCTATTTCCAGATGCCCTCACATGTTTCGCAGTTAAACACTGACACTGATGCCGCTGAGGTTGGGACGCTGCTGGAGGCTGGCTTCCTACACGCTGTCACAACCTGAGATGTCACCAGCCACAACGGCGACGTGTGAGGCAGGGAGAAGGTGTCAGGGTATGTACGTGCCGGAAAGAAAGGTGGAGGCTGGATTCAGGAGAGATGGAACAGCTCTATTGACAATCCCTCCCCAGCTCGATTTCTGCTGAAATGCTGGAAGCCTGCGTTAAGGGGTGGTTGAACAGGTGCCAGTGAGCTACCAGGTGGCCCTCACATGCAGCCCCTGAAATGTTTTGGAGCTCTTGGGAAGTTGTGTTTGTGTAGAACGGTCGTTTGGCTCATTACTCAGGCAGGCTCGCCCCAGAAAGGCGGCAAAGTCTGCACCCCACCCCATGGTCGAGCTTTCCATGTGCCCAGAGGTGTTTACTGTTGGGCTGATACCAACCATCATATTTCTGGTAGGAAATACTTCATGTATTTTATCACTCTTGCTCTCATGAAATTTGGTATATGTACGAGCACAATATATATATGTATACACACAATGTTGTACACCTGTATCCCTATAATCGTATATAAGTATACACAGAGACGTATAGCCATACTCCTAATGTGGGCATCCGGATCCTCAGCAAGTCAGAGAGGCAAAAAGCAGAGTTTCTGGTATTGTGCTTGGGGTCCGTCACAGAGATGAGCGTGTGTGGGTTTAGCACAGTTCCAGACCCCACTGAGGGAAATCTTGGCCTCCACCTGTGTCAATGCAAAGATGCGTCTTCCAAAAAACATCCTCCGAAATCACCCTGTGCCCATGGCCTCTGGGTGCCCGCGGTCCTGGCACCTCCGAGGGCCCGACCCAGCGCAGGAGGCAGGTCTGTGCTCGCCGAGGGACCCCAACCCCTGCCGTGGGGCAAGGCAACCCCACACT